ATGCGTGGTATAAACAAATATCCTGTCTTTGAGAAATAAGTAAGCTAGTATATATGAGAAAACTGAAGCTCATGTTTGAGATATAAGAATACATATTGAACCAAATGTAGATTTTCCTAACATATTTTCAACACAATATCACATATTTTCCTTTCAATTCTGCGGCCACAAATATTCTATTTTTTTGCAAATTTACACACATACCAGTCAATTCTTATGTATTACATGTCTAACACCTATACTTCTATTTTTTGCATTCATACCACCTTAAACTTTAGAATGCAATCTTGGGATCTTAAGATTTTGCTATTTAAAAGCCTACAACAGTAGCAAAATATAATGCATAAAAAAGGTAGGTACTAAATATTAGCCAACTGGTGATTCCATAAAGACATATGATTCCATATCACATCAAAACCCTTTAAGGAATATCATGTAGGTACTAAATATAAATCTAAACACTATAACGAAAAAATCGCTAAATCAGATTTATATACACATAAATCTAAATGTGTTGATCTCACTTAATCCAAAAGCCCTAATTTTATAATGAAAATCTAAATAAATCTAACATTATAATGAAAAAATCACTAAATCTAAAAAAATCTTCTACAAGCCCTAAGATCACTAAAATATCTAAATAAATCTAAAAGAAATTTAAGAAAATTTAAGACAAGAGACATACCTGAAGATAAATATGAAATATTACTGAAAAGATACTCAAAGATAACACCTAGGTCTCTAAACAAGCAACCGTGCAAGACTATCGAACAAACAAAAACAACAGCCGTGCAAGACTATCGAGCAAACAAGCAAGAATACCAATCAATCGAGCCAAAGTGTCGAGAATGAGAAGTAGAAATTAGATAGAAAAGCATAGACGACAAGCACTAAGCTGTCGCGGTCGTCGGAGGAGTATAGTTGCAACTCGGAAGAGGGCGCCGAACGAACGAGAGAAGTTTCGAGAGACGAATGAGAAGCCAGTTAGGGTTTTTTCAGTAGAGGTATATATATTTTAAAATATTTTATTTATTTAAATTTGTTAAAATTGTTTTATATAATTAATATTAAAATATTATTAGTAATAAAGTCATTTCTAAACTTATGCACAACAAGAGTCAAAACATCAAGTCACAAGAGCTTTCAAATCTTCCCCAAACCAACAAAATTGTAATTTTGAACAATTCTTATACAACTACATATTTAACAACTACTGTTTGATATTTACATTTGTAACCTTTTGATATTCAGAATCAATATATGCAGAGACGAATTTTTGCCTTTGAGAAATAAGTAAAGGTAGTATATATGAGAAAACTGAAGCTCATGTTTGAAATATAAGAATACATGAGAGCCGAATGATCTATGCGTGTATAAACAAATATCCAAGTTCAAGTGTTAAGCATGTAAAGTATAAGAATACGCTGCATATCTAATGACAACTTTGAAAC